AATTTTTTCAATACAAAAATGTTTTCTTGTTATATTTGTTCCACATTTCTCCATTATAATTAAGTATAATGCAAACATAACTTCCTATAAAACTTCTTGAAAATTTTGTACCTGCTTATGATGCGCACCCCTTTTTTTCTTCTGAAATTTGGGAAAAAAGGTACACGTGGTACTTGAGTAAATACTGTATATGTATATATATATACAACTCGAGTAAATACGGTATACGTATATATATATATACAACCTTTGAGGAAAAGGAGTGTTTTGTGCACTGCCTGCAGCCCCATAACCCATCAGCACTTGCTCCCCCTTGGCAATTCCTTTCATGGCCACCACCACCAACTTGTCCTCATCCATGGCCCCCACCACACAAGCATTAGGCACACATGAATGGTTGAGGAAACTGATGGTGGGACACATGGCCAGTCCCACCACTTGAGAGCCCTGGGGAGACTCATATCCTGAACATGGCACAACCACACTGGATACAGTGAAGGTCTGTGTTTTCAGATGTCGCACATAGTGTAGGACAAGTCTGGAAATCAGCAGGATGTCAGCATCTGACTGCTGGTCCTTTGATGTGAGCTCTGTGGTGGCTGGGATCACAGAGCCAAAATAACCACAGCCCTTCAGCAACTTGACTATGTACACCTGTATATAGTGGGACACTTGAGAATAACTCATTCTTTTGTCTGTGGTTACTGATGAACACAGCAGTAAAACTTTCATTTTTTAAATGTATTCAAAGTACATCAGTACTTCTGGGATGACTATATAAGAAATCCATATAGTAAACATTGGATGCAGTTGTTGATTGTCCTCAGATTTGTGAGAAAATAAAGATGCTTTTTCAGGTGGTGCCCCATGATTTGACCCTAATCCATTTCTAGAATGGGGTGCATTGAATTGCTGAAGCATTCAAATGCAATGCTTTCTAAATCCTATTTGACATTCATTTAGCATTTCTATATGAGAGTCAAATTGCTGGGCAGAGGTCAAATTGCAAGTCATTCTCCTGGCAAATTCAACCATCAAATTTAGGGGTGGTTGAATTATAAATATATAGATGGCACTTTGCAATTCAACCCTAAACTCTTGCTGGACTCGGGTCAAATTAAAAAGTGGTCTAGTTGCAAGTCAATGTCAAATGGCATGTTTTCTACATGGCATTTGATGTTTAATGCCTCTCTGCAGGTCAAATTGCATGGCAGGTTGACTTGAGAGTTGACCTTACAGCAATTTTAACAGTCAAATTGTGGGATGTACAAATTGCAGAAGATCAAATTGCAAGGTACCACCTGTATACACTTATGGTATTTCATTGCATCAGGTACACAATAATTTCAGACAAAAGGTATATTTCAAGGTTTACTGAATAATGCAGGACTCAGAAAACAATTTTCATTGGACTTTGGATCAGTTTTAAAGAATACAAACAGAATGGTATGATGGATAAACTTTGAAGGCTTTTCTTTCTTTTGGAAAAATTATTTTTACATAAGTAACTGTAAATCACTGGGGTTATTGTAAGTCATTTCCACTTTTCACTATTTTCAGTGTATATAGGGGAACACATAAGAAGATATGTTATCAGTTTAACATGAGGCAATGCAGGAGAGAGAAACAAAACAAGGAAACAATTTGCTCACAAACCTTACTCATTTTCCTTCAAGGGAAAACCAAAATTAATCTGAGAAAAACTTGAAGCATATCAGGCATTTTTTGTAGGATAACTTGAGGAAAATCTTGAAAATAATAGAGGAGGATTGAATTAATCATGAGTTTCTAAAAGTGAATTTCAGTAGGAAAGAATGTTCATACAGACAACAGGGCTTCATAGGCAGCCTTTTGAGGGTCAACTGGATGTCTGAAGAGTTCCAAAGTGCTCAGCACTTCTTGGGCATCAAAGAGTTGATTATGAGCAGTTCCAGCTGGTTTCCAACCAGCCTTTAGAGCCTCATCCAGCAACTGTCTCCTTGAGGTAAAGTAGGTCTTTGTTCTTTGGGCAAACAGTCTATAGACAACCCTTGGCACCAGACCTTCTTGGATCTCCAGCTTGTCCAGAATTGCTGCCATGGACTCACACTCATATTTCAGGTGGTAGGAGTCATTTGCCATGTCCTGGCACTTGGCTGAGCAAAACACTGCTGACTTGCACTTGTAGCATGGTATTGGGAAACTGCATATGTTGACACAAAAGAGTTTGATTGTGTCATCCCTTCTTAATGGATACAGAAACCAATATTGCCTTTCTCAAGTATGAGCCACAATAGTTAAAAACAACTTATGGAAAAATGGGAACCATACTTCAAACTACATTCCAATCAATGCAGGTGTGAAGATCAAAAGATATTATGTTATAGTGCAAGTACATTTTTGGACCCTTTAAAAATCCTAAGCTTTAAAAGACTTCAAGTTAATGACACAGGTTTTCAATGGTTGAAAGAATAATTAAATTTTAACTTAACTTCTTTGTAAATACCATTCTGCAGTATATAAGTGCATTTCAGCCATTTTAAACATCACCTGCAGTAAGTTAAGCAGTAATTGCAGTGACTGTCAGCTGCAGAGTGGCTCAGAGCTCTTGCAAATGGCCGTTCACTGATGAGAATTGTGCCAGGTGGCAAGTCATCCTTGGCAATGAACCCTCTTCCATACTTTTCAGAACTTTGCAGCTCCAGGCATTTTGCAGCAGTTGGAACAAACCTGTTCACACCATCTGGAACAATAAATTATACACCTTCATACTAATTAAAGATGATGATAAGACTACTTTTTGCAGTTGTTCAATTAATAATCTTGTGGAAATATGCTTGATATATATGTTTACAATTTTGGTACTTTCCTGTTATCTCTGTACCTCATTCCTATAGACTGCACTACCATCCAGACAAATCTTTAGGATTAGTTCATAATCACAACAACCTATCAGAAACTGAATTTTATTTTTCCGCATTCTGCTATAGGTCAGGTTAAATTGGTCAGAGGGAAGGTACAGAGATAACAGGAAAGTACCACAATTTTGTATGGAAGCAAGAAATATTTTCTCACCTGCCATCAGAGAAGACACTTGAAATCCTGGTGAGAATTCCTCCCAATCAGACTTTGGATGCAGACAGCAGCAAGTGTCAAGACAACTGATATGCAGATTCCAGTCCTGTTCCAGAATGTCTTGGACCCCTTGGTGGACACCATCAGGAAATCCAGCTTTCTTGGCCAACATGAAACACTTTCTAGACTCTGCCAACTTTCCCAAGTTCTCCAAACACCTTGCTTTCAAGTCAAGTCCCACTAAAAGTTCCCTGATGTGATGGTTACAGCTATAAAAACTTGGCAACTAAAAAACAAGGTAAGTTATTCATGTCATCACATTTCTGTCAAGGCCTTTGCTGATAAACAGTCCTCCAAGTCCTGCAGGGCCTCTGCATAATAGCAATGGTTGTAGAAAACTTCTGCTCTGTACTTTTTGGCTTGAAATAACTCTTCAGAATTCTCATCAGCTTCTTTGATTGCACAGTTGAGGTATTTGAGGGCAGTTTTGGGTCTTCCTTGATGAAGTGCATCCAAGGCCACCTGGAAAATAATGAAACAGTGTCTTATTTGAAGTTTACATCATCTTATTGCCAGATTTTCTTTTGATATGTGGTGTTACAAATAGAGCTGAGTTCACCAACCTATTTTGGCTTGCTGATCAGCAAATTTTAATAAAATCCTTTGTGAGCTGGCATATTTTCATAAATTGCTCTGCATGTGGACTGACAATGTTCTGTACAATTTATAGATTCATTTGTTTTATATTTTAGAGATTTTTTACAGGTTTGCTGCCTTGTACAATTTAAGAAAGAACATTTTCATGATTTATTTAGCATATAAGCTTTTTACAATACAGTAATTGCAAATGGACCTGAAATAAAATTCTTGATTGTTTTTGCACAGTTGGAGCTCATAAAAAGATGTCCAGGATGGAAAGCAGAACTTCTGATCTGAAATGTAAAATTCAAAAATATTGATGGTATGCGTATATATATAGAAGGTGAAAACTACGGTACTTTCCTGTTATCTCAGTACCTACTTTCCTGTTATCTCTGTACCTTCCCTCTGACCTATTTAACCTGACCTAACCTAACTTCACCTAACTGCCTCTCAAAATCAGTTTCTGCTTTCTTTGGGTTTCTGCTGAAACTGATTTTGGGAGGGGGTTACCTAAAGTTATGTTAGGACAGGTTATGTTAGTTAAAACATATTTGTAACTAACATAACCTGACCTAACCTAACTTTACCTAACCGCCTCCCAAAATCAGTTTCAGCAGAATGTGGAAAAATAAAATTCACAGTTTCTGGTAGCTAGGTCATTGTGATTTTGAACTTGTCCTAAAGATTTTTCTGGATGGTAGTGCGGTCTAGGAATGAGGAACTGAGATAACAGGAAAGTGCCACTACAGTACTTTTCCCTTTTAAGAAACAAAATTATTAAAGGCATGAGTCAGTGATTATTACCCTGATTGACACTTTTGCCTTCTTCACTTTCAGCAATTGCACCACAGCAGCCTTTTCATCAAAGACCCTTGTTCTTTTAACTACTTTCATGTTCAAAACCGTCCTCATGAGCTCTTTTTCTGTCATGTTCATAAGCCTCAGCTTCAAAGCCTCTAAACCACCTTCTTGTTGCACCACAATTGCTGAAAAGGTCTGGAAACCATCAGCTGTTTCATGACAAGCATTTGTCATTCTGAAAAGCAGAAATAATTCTGAAGTAAAATAACTTTTTTCAGCCAAAATTTGACCAACTTACTTGGAATGCACAGCAGGTGCTGAGTCACATTCACTTCTTACTGACATGACTGCCAGAATTTGCCAAGGAGATTAAAGTCTCAAACAAAGTAATCCAGAGATTCAAAAAAAGAAGATAAACCTTGTGAAAGCTCATTTATTGGAATTCACCGAGTTTCTGCATCAGAGTCAATGAAGGAGTCTTCAAAAACTGACTTTGATCTCATGGGAATAAAATTCTGCAAAGGAGTAATTTTCCCTCCTTGTTTCAGAATTGAGTTAGGCTCCATTGGAAGGTGGTGGTTCAGAAAGTTCTGCCACATTGGGACACACACGTATTTTTCTGCCACTTTCTCCTTGGGAATTTTGGGTGCATTGGTGTCTTCAAATTTAATTGATTCAACTTGCAGATGAGGATCACTTGATATCAGTGCATCAATGTCACAGCAGCTGGACTCATCAGTCAAGTCAATCAAGATTATTTCTTGGCTTGTCATAGAAGCTGATGTGGGAATTGTGCTCAGGATATCTTTGCCAATGAGAGGATCTATAAGCAAAATAAAAACAAGAAGATATGTAACTACTGGACCAAACCACTTGTGTCAATATTATTACCTTGAAGATTTTTGGTTTTCTGGGTGCTTGGAAAGTCTGCATTCACAGCAAGGTTGGGTTGAAAGTCCCCATGGCATGAGATTGGAATTTCATGTGACAAAAATGTCTCCTTTTGGTTTTCCTCATGATATTGAATGCTTTGAATCCCTTCATTCCTTTCTGGTAACAAAAAAGCAAGTATTATACCCAGCCTTTTTGGGCCCACAGACTAGCAAATTTCATAAAAGGTTTGCAGACTCAAGAGACTATATATCACATGAATTTAAAATTTTTTAGCTTCTTTCAAAAATTGAGTTAAGAACAAATGAGGCAGCTGTAGTAAAATGTCTTCAAAAAATTAGAAGGGTGGACTTGAAGAAAGGTTTCTCAGAAATAAACTTCAAAATAATTTATATCAGCAGGTGAAAATTTGCCTGAATTGCTATTAAAATAAAAGTCCACATCCATTTTTCATCAGATAACTTCAACTGCCTCTGTCTTCACAAAATGTCAGATAAGAGTTTGTTTTTACTTTTGGAAACTTTATTATGCTTGAAAAAATTTCTTGTGAACTGGCAAAAAAAAAAATTCTGCAGGCCAAAAGAAAGTCATTTCTAAAATCTAGAGATAAAAAATGACTTGTTATTTCCTTCAAAGTCTTGCCTTGTTGATTCCTTGGGCAATTATTGACTCCCAATGCGACCAAATCTGAGTTGATTCCAATGTCTTTGTAATATGAAGCCCCAGTCAAGTGTAATACTTCAGTGTCCTGATTGCCTTGTAAAGTAGCATTTTGGATCTCAAAGATAACACCTGGGTCCTTTTCCTCCCAAGGAGCAGAAATGTCATATTCTTTGCCTGAAGATCCCGCTGTCATCTGTTTCTTATTTGGAATGTGACCATCAGGTCCTCCCATGATAAGATGTTGACCTCTTTTTGAGGTCATGGATTTCTTCAAAGCTGGGTCAACATGCAGGCCATCACTTGCACCCAAATCAATAAGGGATACACTTTTCTCTGGCACTGTTTTGGGTATTGGGTTGTAAATGGATGGCCTTCCTCTTCCCCTTTTCTTGGTGCATCTACCTTTAGTTGGCTTACTGCTGGTCAACCATTGGTCTCTCTTTGCCTTGATCAAGTATCCAGGTGGGATCTCTTCAAAATAATGATTTGCAATTGATGCTTGTGCTGCAGCAGAATATGATGAGTATTCATTTGCCAAATTTTTGAAAGTTTCACAAGTATCAACATTATTGTCAAAGGTAGTCTTTGGCAAATCAGTGCTGAAACCAGCAGTCTCCAAGTCTCCAGTGTTTGGGAGTTGAACTATAAAACCTGGGGTCATGCAACTCATATTTTCAGAATTTGACCCAAGCGGGGTCACATTATAGTCTTGGAGGAACTTCATGACCAAGAACTGGTTAAGCTGTTGTTGCATGCTATCAGACACTGGCTGATTTATGTTCAGAGGCTCAACCTTGATGAGGGTCCCAGTGAAAACAAAAGAGGTCACCTGGAAAGAATTTGACCCAAAATGGATCTTTTGTCTATTTTGTACAGAGGACCTGTTCAATGCTGGGATGAACACCAGGGGTTTAAAACACCTGTTGTCTTCTCTTCCATCATCTGAAAAAAGACAATAAATATGTTATGCAAAAAAGTACAAAGGAGATGGCCTCAATTTGCAAACCTGTGATTAAAAGTGATGATGGAGCTGGTTCATGTCCTTTCCAATGATGCAATGCTTCCATAATTTGATTAATGACGCTTAATTTTAGTCAATCTCTTGACAACTTTTTGGTCATCACCTGAAATGTGGAAGAAATGGTTCAATCCATTGTACTTGCCGAAATACTGTACTAACTGTAGTGGCACACACATTTCCTTCTACTCGTGGCACCTTGAAATTTGACCCTAATCTTTGTTTCTGGACTTGGTTTAAATTGCAAAACAGTTGAATTGTAAGACAATAAATAAAATTGAGAAAAATCAGCACAAAAATGCAACAAAAAAGTGGCCAAAGCAGGTCAAATCCCAGGGCAGTAGTCAAATTGCAAGTCAACCTCCGTGCAAATTTTACCGTCAAACTGCGGGTGGGATGGTTGAATTGCAGGAGATCAAATTGCAAGGTACCACCTGTATATTCCCATCACTATAAAAGCATGACTGGGGACAATTAAATGCTGAAGAGATNCTTTGATGAATTATGATTGGTTTTATTTGAATTAATTTCAGCAGCCATTCACAACACAAGTATGCTTTCATGGTTGCATACAACTTTTTGACTCTAATTTACCAGACTGGCTTTGATGAAAAATTGACAGTTTAGCCTGATCCTGAAGATCTTGATGCCAAAAATAATGTACAGTATACATTTTATAAATTGTATTCAACCCTATGTAAGAATGGTTTCTTCAAGACAGGGCCTCTTATCACCAGTATAACTTGGTGAAGATAAAAAGTATACTCAGTCTTCAGGAAGAAATTTTGCAGAGTGTGAGAAAGAAAACATTTGCCACCTGCCAACCCCAAGTTTATTTCAAAGAAACCACACTGGTATACCTCATACAATGAACACAATTAGTTCAAGTGCTGTGCTTTTTGTAAAATTTGTTCTTTAGATAAATTATGTTTGTATATATACAGAGCACTTCTAAAGAACAAATGGATTCCTTACAGCAACTGTACAGGTATCACCTTGCACTTTGACCCAAATGTGTTGCTGGGCTAAGGTTAAATTGTGAAGTGGTCAAACTGTGAGACAATGTCAAATGCTATGTTCCCTACATCAAAGTAGACATTTTGAATCTCTCAGCAGGTCAAATTGTGGGGCAGAGGCCAAATTCCAAGTTGACCTCCCAGGAAATTTGATTTTCAATTTGCACAGCAGCTGAATTGCAGGACAAAGAATTGAAAAGTACCATTTGTACCAATTTTGTTAGTGATAGTACAAAGGTGCAAAAGTACACCACAAATTTTTGTCACCACAGAAAATTCATACTAATGTATAAGATGTCTGTATACTATGAAAAATAAGTGTACAACAGTGCATGTGTGTTTTAAATTATCCAGATATATGTGAGTGAGTCTGTGAGTCTTTTAACTTGTTCAGCGAACTACGACCGGAAAGATGGTCGGTACTACCGGTAAAGTAGTGTGGACTGGTTAACCAGTCGACCTACTTGGGGTACTATCCGTCACCATTGCTTGACAAACTCATTATGTGTGTGTGCCTCTTGTCTTGCCACGGAGTTGAGAGCCATAGAGTAAGAGGACACCTTTAGGCACTCCATGGCTTGGTGGAAGGACAACTGGTCAACCTTCCTCACATACACCAGTCTTAGGTACATGAATTCCAAGACCTTGGCCAGGATGCTTGGGTGGATGGAGTCTATGCAGACATCTTGAACACTGAATGTATACAGTATATAGAAATATTATAA